TGATACTACTGACAATAATAACAGAGCTAACAGATATACTAGTTATGTTAAATATGATATAAATGATAATAATAATATAAATAATAGAAATATAATAAATAATATGTGTGTTCTTTTTGGCAGATATGGTAGATTTAGCAAATATGATATATTTGGCATATATATCATATTCAATAGGTCTGTTAGTTTCTGCCAGTTTCAATGTAAATAGGATGTTATAAGATTAGATCACCAAGATGACAATGTAGCGTATAGAGTATTTTGCTCATAAAATCTGGAACAACTACTTGATGAAGAAAAAAATTTACTTTGTAAATAGCATAGATTGTTTATTTATCTTTTCGTTATAGGTAAGTACTATTGTTTTTATTTTTTATTTTTATTTATTAAATGTTTAATTAATTAAATTTAACTTAGAAGAACTTATTAATTGCTATCTCAATCAAAATATTACACATTATGAAAGGATTGAAATGGCTATAACTGCATATTTTTTTTTTACATTTATGAAAATATTATATTGAAACTCTTAATAAACTTTATCTTTCTTATATATCCATTTCAAAAAACTTTTTAGCAACGTAAACTTTTAATATTATGATTAATCTAGTTAAATTCTTAGTTCTTTTAATTAAAATTCACCATAATTACTATAAAGATATTCCTTTATTACCATAGAAACATGACACTGAGTCATATTAATATATTTTTGGAATTTCCCACCAATTTTGCTCTGATTTTAATTATTTGAAAATCGTTCAAATGGTTCCAAAAATTAATCAATATTTTAGATCTGTTAAATCTAATAATTTAACATTTAGAAAGGAAAAAACAGTGTGTGAAGGTAAGTATTTTTTAAGTCTGTCATATAATTTAATTTATTTTACATCACATGATTTATTACATTTTCGATCAATTTATTTAGGTTACGATTTTAATGGATGTGAAGAAATTGATCTTATAGGTAATAATCTTGAATGTTTACGCTACTGGCCATCTGATGTTATATACTGATAAAGAGTCTAATGATAATAATGATTCAACTATTTTTTAAAATATAAACTATGCAGTATATAAGTTATCAAGTCAAGAGAAATCTGATTTATCAGATTTGGATATTATAGCATCTACACCTTTATTAAAAAAAAATTATAAAACCTGTCAAGTAATTGTGAAACATATTCAAAAATTACCTGATATTTTATGGTATCTGAATTGTAAGTAATTTATTATTATTATTTAATATTTTTTTCTAATTTGTTTTTTTTTAATTGTCTGTATATTTGTATGTAGATTTCAAAGATTTTGATTATATTTTGGATGATGGATTATTAAATATTGAATACTTTTTAAATTTACGTCAACATCATGATGCTTATTTAAGTAAAAAGCTTGAACACAAAAAAGTTTAATTGAAAAATATCAATGAAAACAATAGCAAAGTTGACATTAATAAAGCAAGTAGTTTGGTTTCATATTTGACTAAAAATGATTTCATAACTATCAAATCATGAGAAAATAGATGAAAATTAGGAGAAAATAATAATAAAGTATTTGGAAAGCAAAACTCTTCAGGTAAATTTAAAATTTTTCTTATTAATTAGTTTTTTAATTTTCTTTAACTTAATTTATCTTTTTATTTATTTTTTTAGAGCATCTTTC